TGCAGCAATGCTGGCAGCACTCATACGTCTGTTTCCCAAAGCCAACCTCTGGATATGATGCTGAGCACGGGCACTCAACTTCTTTGGTCGACCATGGCAAGGCCAGTTCTGAGTGGAACCTGTCCTGTTAAATCGCTGTATGGTCTTGGCCACTGTGCTGCAGCTCAGTTTCAGGGTTTTGACAATCTTCTTATAGCCTAGACTCAGACCATCTTTATGTAGAGCAACAAGTCGTTTTTTCAGATCCTCAGATAGTTCATTACCCTGAAGTGCCATGTGGAACTTCCAGTGACCAGTCTGAGAGAGTGAGAGCGATAACACCTGCTCCCCCTTCACACCTGAGACTTGTGACACTAACGGGTCTCATGACACCAGGGAGGAAGAACAGCTACTTGGGCCCAATTTGGACATTGTCAGCCTTGTGCTCACTTTGGTTGCCAGCAATTTAGACATTAATGGCAGGGAGTTGCATTCTTTTGAGGGGACAGCACATTTACACTGTTATACAAGCTGTATACTTACTGCTTTACCTTGTAGCCAAGTGTCATTTCTTCAGTGTTGTCACATGAAAAGATACACTAAAATACTGTATTTACGGAATGTGAAGGGGTGTACTCACTTCTGTGATATACTCTCTCTCTCTGTGTGTGTGTGTGTGTGTGTGTGTGTGAGAGAGAGAGAGTGAGTGAGTGAGTGAGTGAGTGATCCTCAGTTCCAACTTATGGTGACCCTTTCCAGGGTTTTTGACGTGGAGAATACACAGACGTGGTTTACCATTCCCTTCTCCTGGGACTCTGCAGCTTGCCCATGGCTACACAGGCTGGATCTCATTGCAGGAGGCAAAGTGGGGAACTGAACTCCCAACCTCTGGCTTCACAACCACTGAGCTTTCCAGGCAGCATGGATGTTTCCTTAATGCACCCATTTTAGTAAGAGCAACTTCTTGATTGGAAAAGCCGATTGCAATGAGATCTTGCAGTGCAGTTCTTGAAGGGTTACCAAATTTTGCTTTGTGGGTGGTCCAAAAATACAGAATTACGTAAGAGTACGTTAAGATGTCAACCAAACTAATTTCTCCTTCATCCCTAAGATGACATAGATTCTGTTCAATTCATCTCTTCCTTTCTGATGGTATCTACTCATCTGCCTGTAATTTATCTTCCATTCTTTGCCAATTCACTATGTCTGTGTGCCTATTAATAGAAAAGAATGCATTTTATGAAGAGATTCCATGCAGGGAGAGGTTGGTTTATTGTGTGCAGCTTATGTCACATAATATGTTACAGGCACGCATAACAGGAAGTGGGAAGACAACACAGAGCAGGGTAATCGGCTTTGAACATAAAAGAAGAGGGTGGAAGCATGGGAAGGGAGTCAGTGGTTACTTCAGCTGCCACTAAGGCCTCCAGATTTGGGAGCATACATTCTTCTTTTGCCTTTCTTTTTTCTTATTTCCAGCGGCCACCCAGTCTGGCTTTTCCGGCTCCTTTTTTGCTGCAAAGGAGAGATGTGCATTTTAAAACATTAACTATTTTAGGGTTTTCAGGGAGGGGGGAATAAATACAGGCAGTGACATGTAGGAAACTGTACTCATCTCCATAAGCT